TCTCTCAGGGAGGAAAGATAAGGAATGGCAAAGGACACACTGACAAAGGAGATTAATCAGAACTGGCTTTGACAAGCACTGTGGCAAATGGACAATTAAAACAGACATTCGGATGGCGGGGGAAGAAGAACAAACTGGGGAGGAGGGTAGAGAAAATGGTGCAGCAGTGAAGACCCAAAATCCCTGTAAATGTTCATTAAAATTAATAAAATTTAATAATAATAAAAAGGAAAAAAATTTTCTAAAAATCAGTCCTTTAAAACCTTCCGTCTGGACCCTAGTTCTGATCTACCAGTCGAGTTGCCAGTAGCCGGAATCAACATGACAGTAGCTGGTTTTTCCATGCTTTATAGGTTTACAGCCCACACGTGACGGGGCAGCCCTACTCTGTCCTTTAAAACTGCCATTGAGCCCGTTCCAGGTCAAACCCTCCAATGAGTTTCTGAGGCCAGAAATCCTAACAGGAAGAGATTGTCCTTCAGTGTCATCCTGTCTTGTGGGGTCGAACAATGGCATTGAACAATGGAAGATCCTTTAGTTAGGAAAGAAGCAAACAGTTTTGAGAAGGGTCATGGACCCCTACTTCTGGATGTCTGCACTGTCTTCATTCATGACCCACAAGTTTAGTGAAAGGAAATTGAACTCATTTGTTCAAATCAATAAACATTCAAGGATTCTTTCTTTGCTAAGAGTTCAGTCATAAATATTCTCGCTCTTGAGCTCAGTGCATTTAGGAGACCAACACAGAACTTCTTCTAAGGACTAGAACACTGGCATTCCCTCCAACAAGCAAAAGTGTTCCTTTCATTGGGCTCTGGCAAAACCCCCAATACTAATATTCAAAAAAGTTGTATAGAATAAACCCTAATGATTTAAACGTCTTAAGTTTTCAAAACTGAAATTTAAGAGGAAATGAACAGATTTTTGCCAGATTATCGTAAGAAATTCAGGCACTCTGAAAAGAGCATGAACCTTTCAAGGTACTGAACAGTCTGGTGTTCATGGTGATAAGAGCCAACCCTAGCAGGATTTTGCTTAGAAAAAGGTCTTGACTACTTAGGCATGATGAACAAAGTTCCTCTATGAATAAGAGATGCTTCCCCCCAAGAGAACTAGGGATTTTAAAGAGTTACAGTAAATGCAAATTCATTTCTTTCATATGAATATTTTTGGAGCATGAGGTAGATTTTGCACACAGATTCTGGTTTCTCACTGAGTTATGCAAAAATCAACTCAAGGAGACAAATTCATATATCTATTTTGAAAAGTATTTACTGCATTTGAATAAATTAATTGCAAATAAAAATTAGCTACAATATATAGCTTGAATAGAAATGATTAGAACAAATACAATATAGGACTGGATTTCCTTGCATTAGTCACAAGGCATGTGACAACCTAGAAAATTTCAAAATCATTTCTTTGAAAAAAGGGTTAACAGCAGTTACTGATACATAACAACTCGTAAACTTATGATACAAGTTTCCTGACATGCATTTCCTGAGTGAACCCAAATGATCATTTTGAACAAGGAAATTTTGACAGCTGAAGTAAAACAGTTCATGGCTTCCAAGCAACAAGGTTTTCTTGTGTTGTTTTTTGTTTGTTTTTTATAAAACCAAAAGAAAGAACAGCATTGTAGTAAGAGAAATTAAAGCTATGCTACCACATACAGAAATTTACTACTATCAATGAAATATACATTTTTTTTAACTCAACAACAAAACAGAAAGTCAAAAGATTAAAAAAATTATCCTGCCTCATCTAAAAGTATGCTGATTTCTACAAGTGTTAAAGGATGTGCTGTAGTGCAACTGTCTATTGTTTTCTTGTGATGCATTTAAAAAAAAAAAAAGAAGAGATAGGGATGGAGGTGAGAGGGTGAAAGACTTTTTATTGCTTCTGAAAGCAAAGAACTTACTGGAATTAAAGAATCAGCAGACCATGCAAGTGTGTCCGTCCACTCTTTTTCTGTGCTCACAGGCCAGTAAATGGTCACCTGTTACCAGGCACACTTACAGTTAAGGCTGGTCTGCTGGGGTCAATAAAAAACACCAAAAAAGGCGGGGCTCTGCTGTCACTCAACCCTTTGTATTTCCACATTTCTTAATGCCTGGATCCGGCCAAATATAGAAGTAATTATTTCTTCTTCTAAAAGCAAATCAAGCCACCCTCCTTTCAAGTGTTAATTTATGCTTTTTCTCAAGGGGATGGGTGGGGTTTTTTTTTCTTCTAGAAACAGTGAACAGATGAACCACAGTTTATATCTAAAAAATAAAGTTGCCAAATGTTGCTGATACTAAAAAGAGATTAGTAATCATGGGAGAAAAATAGATAATCTAGATTAAATTGCATATCCAAAGGAGCATATAAAATGTTTCTTAGCTTTAAGTTTCTGTTATAGTACTACACTCAAGAGAAACATTAAGGAAGAAAACAACTTTCCTGATTATCTTCAATGTGGTTAAACACACACACGTTTTACACAATGGTCAAACATGGATTTGATTTTACCAAGTATTCTGGTCTACCAAATCCCGTACTTAGATGAAGTGGTGATGGGGAGAGGCTAGCCTGCCTTTCTGAGCCTCGTCAATCCTGGAGTTCCATCTGCTAAGCTACCCTTCACATCCGAGATGTGACACCATGATCCGAGATCGCTACCATGCTACTCTATCTAGCACATTCCAAGGTATCTTCTATGATAAATAGAAAAAAAAGTTAATATACATGTTGCTGTATTTTACAATGTTTACAACAAACTGTAAACTAACATAGTTTGAACCAGCAGTACCCTCAGTCAGACACGCTTTCGACGCTGAGGATGGGTGATTCAAAAACACGAAACAAAGGCATCAAATGAGACTATGTCTTTTTCTCCTCAAAATAGATTTTCAAAACTCATGAATTCAGAAGTGTGGTACTTTCAGAAACCCCTCTGCTTGAGTTTCCCAGATTTTTGCTCAGAAATTGCTACTCTGTATTACAAATGCTTAGAAAAATTCTTTTATTTTAATGCAAATGGTTGGAGCAGAGAAAAGGGTGATGTGGACAATAGGCTGGAAATCCCGAATCTCTTAGCTTATAAATGTAGAATGCAGTTCTGGAGGCCCACGGTCCACTAGTCTAGAGGTCCCTGGAAGATGAGTCTGATGTAGCCTTGTTCGCCGGCCAGCTGATGGGCACAGAAAGGGCAGGCTGCGTGGAAGGTGTGCGTCCCGTGAGGGAGTGGGATCTGGGACCAGTACGCAGTTGTCTTTTCAGAACACACGTGGCCACACGGGCTGAAGGCGTGGGTGGGAGGGCCGGCGTCCACATAAAATCCCGCCTCGCAGCCGAGCCACAGAGGGACGTAGGGGCCGACTGACCGACACATGGGGCACTCCCGGTCCTTGCCATCCCTCTCCTCCTTGTTTCCCCAGTTATGGTAGCCGTGCACGTGGCCACAGCTCAGGTAGACCCAGGGCTGCTTCTCATCGACGACATCTTTCCTCTTCATGCTGGGAAACGCCAGGGTGTTGAAGCCCACGGGGCACTGAGGTCGGGCCGCGTTGATTTCCTGCCGCAAAGCTTCCAGATGCTTCACTGTGGGAGTGTGTGAGAGGCCTTCCGCCGTGCGCCACAGCAACGTCGCTCCACACAGGTCGATCAGAGAGCCGTCCTGTAGCTGATTGGTTTCAATCTCCACCTAGGGCATGAAAGAAAAAAGCTCACCATAATGGTTCAGACTTTGCCACGAGTTATGGTCACAAGTACTGCTTACTCAAGAGACTGCACTTCCTCTGTCGGGAAACTGATGGCAGCCGTGAAAAAGAGAACGACGAGAATCCAAATTATAATCTCTCAAAAGCTCACTGCCATCAGGTCAGACCTGACTCCTAGGCACCCTGCACAGGGTGTTGCAAGGAGACCAGCCATCCCCCTCCCTGGGAGCCACGGTGGATTCGAACTGCCAGGAGGGCAGCAGCACACCTCAGCCCGTGTCTGGCTGGGGCCGTGACACCAGAGCGCCTGGGGATCCACTCTCATCCACTCCGGGGTGGCCATTCTCTTCTTAATCACAGCAGAGATGGATTTACGATTCAAGTATTTGACTAATCTGTGATGCTAATTTTTTTCAGTTAGGTAACTATCATGGCCGAAGACATACAGGCATAAAGAGAAAACACACAGCATGGTGTTTAATTTGGGCTTTAAAATATATTCATGTAACTACAAAATAAACTTCTAAGTGTCTTCTAACTGAAAAGCTAAAATACAAACTAGTCCATGGAATCGGGAGTTCTGGCGGCTTGTGCTGCCAATCAGCTGCCGTGAGGGAGAGAGATGGATAATCACCTCCCATGTAACTGACAGCCTCTGAAAGCCGCTGGAGAGGTGGGCTCCGAATCAGTCCGACTCCCCGGCAGTGAGGGTGGGCTCCTCTAGAAGAGTGTTTTACAGCTGGACTTAGTGCTCTGTGACAGCAGTGACCTGAGATGGTTTGGAACACGGATCGCTGTGGTTAACTAAGCTGTGGATCAGATTTACCATCTTCCCCCTCTGCTGAGCAGATCTGGTTTCACGCAGGCTGAATACGTTCCCGCACACGGATATCTCTCTCCATATTCCGGGCTTGGAGTCTTCTGTGAACCCATTGCGCGGATGCATAACGAGAACGCCGTTGGTGGTTAAGCCGTCCATCTGCCCGTCTGATGTCTTCCATTTGGCTGCCTTCTCCTAGGAGGAAAGACAGGGGTGAGCTCCCATTAACTTGTAATCTGAAGCAGTTATAAAATAAAGCAGCACTGAGGAAAAAGGTGCTTTACCCCAAGGAAGATGTTTTTTGAGGAGTCAAATCCTGCAGCGTAGATCCGTGCTGTGAAGGGCGGATTCCGTTCACATATGATTCTACAGGCAAATCTTGATATGGTGCTTTGCACAGACTGCGTATCAGAATTGCTTTGACTTCCAGGAACTGTGTCGGTCACCACAAAATCGATGGGACTTTCAGTTGACCGGCCAATCTAAAAGAAAAAGAAATATCTATAAACCTATTCAAAGCAACAAGGGAAAACCCATTTAAGAAAGCACAGTAAGATAAAGAGCCTTCAGCCTCTGACATATCTACAGATGAACTTTAATGCTGAGGTATCAATAATTTCAATAACTAATCTGTTAGACTTTTATACAGTAACTAAGAGTATAGAATTATATGGGAGTTTATGACTCAGAATACAAAAAACCCTCAAAGAATGAATAATATTGATGAGATTCCAGATGGCTGTAAATTTTAATTTTAACCCTTTTGTATAGAAACCCTGTATAGGTCTATCCTCTTTAAAAGAAGATCTGGAATATTGTATGTTATATCTAACAACACATATGACAAATAAACTATATGACAGTACAACGTGTCTTCTGTTACTGTGTACTGCTGAGTGACACAGCTGACCCTCCGGTGGGCTTTCAGGGGTAGTAAACTGCGTGGGAGGAGACCGCTCATGCTTCTCCCCTGGAGCCGTTGGTAGATTCAAACCATATGCCTTTGCACTGGCAGCATAATTTCTTACCACCAAGCGAAGCAGGAGTGGCATCCACTTCCTAAACAACATGCCTCTGGAAACTCTATGAACTCTGAGAAATGACAATAGTGATAGAAAGACTTCAGGTATTTTGTTCATAGGGTCGCTATGAGTTGTGCTCGACTCGACGGCAGTCAACAACAACAAGAAGCCACTAGAGCTCTGGTGGCCTAGTGGTAAGAATCTGCACTGCATTCTTGAAAGCACACAGTTCTAATCCACCAGCTGCTCTACAGGAGAAGGACTGGCAATCTCCTCCCATGCGATTAACTGCCTCTGAAAATCTGCTGGAGGGTCCGTTCCAACCTCAAAGTACACAAAATAACAACACCAAGCCAGCAGGGCTCCTTTATGACTCTAGAACACTATGTTATGAATAGCGTTTACATTAAGCTAAATGCAGTGAGGGATACAGATGCTACTAAGGTGTGCAAGATCTTGATGTGAAAGGGCATACCCAGCCAGGCTTTGAGACTTAAGAACAGGATTTTCAAAAGGTATTCTCCCTGGGGAACCAGAGTGACAGTGCACAACATTTACTCATATGCTCCATCATCCTTTCCCCTTTCTTCCTGGTTCCTGAGCTTATGTGAGGGCAAAAAAAGTCCTCAGACAATAGCGCTACATGTGTGAGGGGGGGGTTTATGGATTGAAAAACTATTTCAGAGACAGTAGCTAGTACATAAATTAATATAATTTTTAAAAAAATCAAGTTGAAATGAACACAGAAAATCAGTGGGATAGCATTACTTAAAGCAAATATTTAAGTTTTCAGTTCACGACTGTATTTACTACCTAAGTATCCTAAGGCACAGAGGGGCAAAAAAAACAGACCCTCCTCAAAAACAATGACTTTCAAGGAGCCATTCTTTGCATAGTTGAATCTCTCAAGTTCCTTACACATCATACTTTTAGATAATATCCTTTAGTGTTTTCATTCTTCCATCAAGCTTGGGAATGTTTGTTTTTGGTTTAAGCCTCTTATTTATAGAGTCAACACCACCTCCTGGAGGGCCTTTGTATTTAAGGTAAGCCCCTTCTCTCCACTTTGGAGACTGGGGGCAGCAGTTCTACTCTGAAAGGTGGGCTCTCTTGTTTTGGTTGAGGGTCATGCGGAATGTGTGGTTGTTTTTGATTTAAGCCTCTTGTTTAGCATCAACACCACATGCTGGAGGGCCTTTGTATTTAAAAGTTGTGTGACCCTTGGACCTACTGTAATTAAAATTTAGAGGAACATTCTTCCCAGTGGTGCAGCACTGGTCTGTCACTTTGCTGTACTGAGGTACCTTGGAGTGGCTGTGATGAACTCTGTACCCCTGGGGTGCTGACTGCCATAAAGGTTACCTATGGCAGACAGTGTTTGGTGGAGATCCCAGATTTTGGAAGCAGGAGTGGCATCCACTTCAAAAACAACATGCCTCTGAAAACACTAAGAACTCTGAGCTATGACAATAGTTATAGAAAGGTATAGAAAGACTTCAGGTCTTTTGTTTATAGGGTCGCTATGAGTAGCTCGACTTGACGGCAATCAACAACAACAAGGTTTTATTTATATTAGATAGTTCTAGGTAGAAAGTGGCTGGTTAATAAATGTTAATGAGGTTGGGTTCCCCCTTTATTACTTTTTAAGATAATGATATCAAGAGAAAACAGTCTCCAATCTTGGAATCAAACAAAGCAAGAGTTGGACTGAAGATAATATTTAGAACCGAGGCACAGAACTAAAAAGTGACAATTTGGGGAGAGAGAGTTCCAGTTGAGTTGACATTTCATTTAGGCCTTAGAGATTTCAGCTATCAAAACAACACTGATAATGGCAAATAATAACAAAGTCATCATAAAGAGGAAAAACAGCTACAAATGGAATCAGATGCCAAGAAGTGATTGTATATGTCACCCAATGCACAATGAGAACTTTATGTATTTGTACACTTTATAATTCTTCTTCTTTGAAATGACTGTAAGATAGAGATCTTATCATGGCATCCACTTCTACATCCATGAAAAACTTCAGTGGTTCCTTACGGTCTACACAGTGTCAATATTCCTCATACGATGATTTCCTGTCTATCAGTCTAGTTCAATGCCTTGTTATTTGTAATCATATAAAAATTATATTCTAGCTATAAGTAGCTTATCCATCAATTTTCTTGTCTGACACCTGTTCTGCCAGAATGTCTTTCTACTGATTGGATGGGCAAAATTCTATGCAACCTTCAAGGTCCAGATGAAAATCCTTCTCTTCCCCATCTTTCTCCAACCCAATCAGCTGTTTACATTATTTAGACCACCTTCTAGAGTCACCTTCTAGAGACTCCCCTGATTTATCGCATAGTACTAAGCAAGACAAGCTCAACTTGAATACTTGTTGAATTCAACAAGAAATGTTCTGTTTAGAAGGCAGGTGATCCTAGAGTTTTAAAAACCAGTTCCTTAGGGACTAGTTTCTGCTGTATCTTATCTTAGTTTTACTTCTGAAGAAATGGTTGCATTTTCCAATGGTATACTGTCAGAGAAAGGGCCTCCTCAGTTTATAATATTGGGAAGAAACTTGATACTTAATATGAAGGAAATATTAAAAAAAAACGTTAAAACATATTTAAGGGCCTCTGACAAACGGTGAAGGTGCTCTTTGTGCAATGAGGGATACTTGGTTTAATCCCAATTTTATTTCCAACTAATTGTATAACCTGTAACTTTCAGTTAGAGATGATTTCAGGAAGGCCACGAACAAATGATAAAAAAAAAAGAGAGAGAAAATAATAGAAGATACTTTCTGATACTAAGATTTTGATCTGTGATCTTGAGCCCCCAAAAGTGAGGCATATTTAACAAATTATCCATGACAGAAAATGTTGCAATGAATTCTATAGCTTTGTAGTAGGTTTTTGGTACGATCTAAGCCTCTTTTCCCATTAAGAATGTTTTATTTGTTTAAGTAAAAACAAAGAAGACATTACTGAATACACGCCTCAACTACAGACACACTGTACTAAAATGAACTCAGTATTTCATTAAAAGTGATAGGGGATGGTTCAACCACTATATGGAAGGCAGCCTGGCACTTAAGAGTTGGAAATAGAAATACCATTTGACCCACCAATTTCATCAGTAGGAATATCCTCTAAAGAAACTAGAGCCACAACTCAAACAGATGTATGCACACTTATGTTTACTGCTGAGTTATTGATACGAGCAAAGAGATGGAACCAACCCAAGTGCACATCAACAGATGAATGGATATATAGTATATTCACACAATAGATATATGACACATTCACACAATGAAATATTACACAGCACTGAAAACAATGAACTCGTAAAACATTACACAACATGGGTGAGCTCAGAGGACATTATACTGAGTGAAATATCTCAGTCACAAAAGGACAAATAACTGCATAACACCACTGTTATATAACAGGACTGACACAGGGGATTGGGAGAATAGGAATAAAGTGGATAGATAATAAAAACTGCACTGGAACAGATGAGGGGAAGACCTGTCTGAAAGGAATGTATGATTAGGTAGACTATGACAACAATCTGGAACAAGTATATTTCAAAGTGTATTGGGGGCAGGGGAGCGAGGAAAAATGTGTAAAAGTGAATGAATAAAAAAGATATATATATATATAAAAAAATAACTGTGATAGGGGAGGAAGGGACTTCGAAGAGATATTTTGCTTCTGATTATATTTAATGACACCTCTAAGTCTTTTCACTTTTATTTAATTTTATGAAAACAAATGAAAAAGTCAGTGAGCTAATAATTAGGAGATTAACATTATCAAGTACTTTATATCCTTTTTTAAAAAGCCCAAGATTTTACAAAAATCAACATTAAGGATGAAGATATCATGAATTTTATTTACATCCTTGGGCTTATTATTTTATAGAAATATTAAAATCAAGAATGAGAGAAAATGTTTTCTTGCACTAGTATCTTTGACCAATAATGTGGTGAGAAAGCAGCTTGACCTCACAGCTGTGACATGAATACAGGTAACCCCGTGGCTCATCACGCACTCGAGGAACTGTATTTACCACAACCAGCATTTCGATTTCTTTGGACACCTTATTGTTAGTAATCTGCACTACACAAAATGTAACAGCATGGAAATGTGCTGATGGTATTATTCTTAGGCCAACTCTTAATGACAAAGATCAATTTATAAAGACCCTAATAATAACAAAACCTTGAAAATATATCATCACCAGCCTATGCTATGCTCTTAGGTATGAACCCTGTTGTAAACTGGCAACTATATGTAATTTGAAACTACTTTTTGTTGTTTAGACAGAGGTGAGAGTGGCAAAACAAAGAGAGAAGATAGTAATAAACAACTCATTAAATCCCTCAACAGCCGGCCTCCTGTTTTATACCCATAGCGGACCCTCTTCCAGCAGGTTTTCAGAGGTAGTAAACTGCACAGGAAGATAATGCCCATCTTTCTCCCACGGAGCAGTTTGGTGGATTCAAACGCAATGCCTTCAGGATTGCAGTGCAGCTTCTCACCACCAGGCCACCAAAGCTCCCTTAACACTGACAACAGATTTTTAACCTCCCAAGAGAAACAACAAGAAACAATTCAGATGTTTGACTACCTGAAACATATCAGTGTTGCTGTCATGAGTATATTCCACCACCACCGTCTGGGCCCGAGACAACGTGTATGATATGCTATGCTGGTCCTTGTTGCTTATCGCCTGAGAAAGAAAAGGTTATCATGCAACAATTAGCATGCAAATCTTTCAAATCAGATTACTTTTTAATTTTAAAAAGTTTATTTATTATACATGTGACTTATGTATGCATTTCCCCCTGAAAGTTAGAATAACATATACAACCTCAGTCGTGGCAGACCAGATACTCAGATTGAGTATAAAATACCTAGGAGTTACAGGTTAAGGTCACAGAAAACTTCAAAATCTGCATCTCTCTTATAAATATTTTAATTTATAAAGGAAGTGAAGTAAAATTCCATCCAGAAAATGAAAAGAGTTTTTAGTACTGCCCTGATAAAATATGTAGGGACATTAGACAAAATTTTGCAAGGCAAGTCTTATTTTTAAAAGTCAAAGAGTTAAACGTTAACAAAGTAGAATGAACATGTTTTCTTAACTATTCAATGATTCTATACACAGCAACTACTTGCCAGATACAAAACCATTCACAGAATGGTTAAACATTACAAAAGAAAAGGGATACAAAGCTAATGACTGTACTTCTGATGTATCCCAGGCCAAATATACTGCGGAAAGAACTTTTCAGCTTTGTTTTCAGATGTATTCTATGTAAATAGCTGAGCTGATAGTATCAGAGAAGCAAAAACCTAGTCACAGCACAAAGGATGTGGAAACAGACTTCACAAAAGAAAAACAGATATGAACACAGGGGAGTGCTTATTACATAGCAAAGAGGCTGCATGAAAGAGGCTTTTTAATTAGAACTTGTGCATTATAACAGTTGATTTAGTTTTAATTTCCAGTTAATCTAAAAATAATTAATAATTAATAACAACAACAACAACAACAATAATAATAAACACCCTAAAGCTATAGCTTTAAAATTGGGAAATTTTCCAATGCTCACCTAAACAGCAACCGTTCAAGGCTTACCAGTGTTAATTTTACTTCTCTTTTTTATCTTTAAGAAAGAAAATGGGAAGGCTCTTGCGTGAAAAAGAATGTATTTGAATGTTACAAATAAATTAATATAAAATAAAAACACCAAAAAAACCCACAAAACAACAACCAAAAAAAGTTAAGTTCTACAGATACAATCTTGAGTATCCACATCACCTTCCCTATTTCCCCAGATAGAGGTACCCACTTTTCAGAATGTAGCATTACTACTCCTATACATGCTGCCAGTATTCCTACTACTTATTTCTGTATGCATAAACACGGTACAATTGCTTTGTAAGTTTCAAACCCCAAAATCACTTGGTGAACTTACTTTTAAGTAACTGACTTTTCAAATAAATACTCAGTGTTTTAGATGTTAATTCTAATTGACCTTATGGATATTTAAGAACCAATTTTGGAGTACTCTGGGTTTATAATTCTGGTTTTCATATATTAAACTCACTCTTAGATTGAAAAGAAAAACTACCCCAAGTTAAGTCTGGAGCTAAATGGTTTGGAAGGCAGAATTTAACTATCCATCCAGATGATGTCTGACTAAAACAATTATTTTTCTCCATCCAGATGATGTCTGACTAAAACAATTCTTTTTCTTCACGATCTCACTAGTATTCTCCTCCAAAGCTGAATAAAGAGTCGAGTCAATCTTTGATCTCTAAGATTCTTGGTCTAAGGTGAAAATTAGAAACAAAACAAAGCTAAACAAAACAATGAAAATAAGTGGAGTATGATAAGGTGAAAAGGGAAGTAAAAGTATATAGAATAGAATATTGCAGAGGTAGGGGTAAAGGGAGCTTTGGTGGCTTAGTGGCAAGGAGTTGCACTGCCAACTCAAACGTAGGTGTTTCAAATCTACCAGCTGCTTTGTGGGAGAAAGATGGGTCCTCTTCTCCATGTGATTTACAGTCTCTGAAAACTTGCTGAGGGTCAGCTATGAGTAGATGGCACAGACATCTAGAGACAATATTGTCTAAAAGAATTATAGGCACATTTTTGGGGCTCTCACAAAGATTTGATGGCTCGAGTGGTATTTAGTGGATGAAGAACAAGATCATCAAGTGTCCTGCAATTATGTGGGACACTACAAAATGAAGGAATGTCACAGCCCAATGTCAAAAGCATTCCTGTGGAGGAAAGCTCAAGAGGCTGCTCATACTGCATCAACAAGCCAGTCATTGCCGTGAGAGTCGTGAAACATTCCTTCTCTATAAAGGAACGGCAAAAACCACCTAAGGAACAAGTATCACATCTCTACACTGCAGTCCCAACTAGTAATAGCTTAGTCAGACTAAAGAATTCTGTTTCACACATCAAACTAGATGTAAGACGAAGTCTAACTTCAGGAACTGGAGCTGTGACTCTAAAACAGAGCATTCTCTGCCAACTTTACTGTGTCTGAATTATTCAATTTACAAAAAATCCTTCAGTTGTGTAATAATGTACTATGAGACTGGTGTCTGGATTAAGTGCTTCCAGAAATCAAAGGACTCTATTTGTTCTAGGAGCTCACCACAGTATCAAGTCACAGCTCAAGTTATAAAATTGAAAACAGGAAATCAAAAGAAACGAAAACGTTTGACATTCCCCCAACCTCCCAAGCTAAGAAAAGCCGAGTGTCCTGAAATAGGGCAGCAAGTTTTCTGAAGATCAGGGGAGGGAGTGGGGGAAGGGCTGGCCAGGGGTGAGAAGTGATACTGTAGATATAGTTGGATACTTGCTTTTATAACTTGATTTAATTTAATCATTACTGAGGATTTACTTTGTACAAGGTACTCTGCTGAAAGCCATGAAAAAAATTTATAAAGCAAACAAAAAAAAAGAAACAAAAGTAGGTACATTGACAGGACAGGCCTTTAGTTAAAAATAATCACCTCTTTCATGGAAATGAAAAATAAACAAACTAAATTAATAAAAAAAAACAAAAACAAAAAACAAACAAACAAAAAAACCCAATCACCTCATCCAAACAAACTTCTGAGACCTGAACACATGTATCATACACATAGCCCAGGCAAGGTCCTCAAACAAGAGAACAGCAACTCCCAATCTCTCACAGAAAATAAATGCACAATTCTGAATCCTGGATAAAGCTCCTGCTCCCTGTCTTTTATTTCTTAAAATAAGAAAAAGATGTTTAACAACTATGAGATATCATCTCACCCCAGTGAGAATAGCAAGATTTAACAGAAAAGCAAACAACAAATGCTAGTGAGGTTGTGGAGAAAACGGAATCCTTATTCACTGTTGGTGGGAGTGTAAAATGGTACAACCACTGTGGAAGGCAGTATTGGTGCTTTCTGAAAAAGTTGGAAATAGAAATACCATTTGACCCAGCAATTCCACTACTGGGAATATACCCCAAAGAAACCAGAACTGCCAGTCAAGGAGATATATGCACACTCATGTTTATTGCAGCTTTGTTCACAATAGCAAAGAGTAAGAAACAACCCAAGTGCCCATCAAGAAATGAATGGATAGAGAAGCTGTGGTATATCACACAATGGAATACTATGCTGCACTGAAAAACAAAGAACTCATGAAATATACAAAATGGGTGACCCTGGAGGACACTATGCTCAGTGAAATATCTCAGTCACAAAAGGACAAATATTGCAAAGTATCACTGTTGTAAAGCGGGACTGACATTATAGTTGGGGGGAAACGAAGAGGTGATAAATGATGTATACTGCATTAAAACAGATAAGGGAGAGAATTGTTAAGGAGGAATATAGGATTAGGTATTATTGTCATGACAGGAGTCCAGAATGAAGCTGCATAGTGGAGTGGGTGTGTGAGTGGGGGTGAGTGTGTGCATAATAATGAAATAATTTTTTTTCTCCTTTCCAAAGAGAAAAGGGAACTGGGGGGAGGGGTGGGCAGGGAGGACTGGGGGGAGGGGTAGGCAGGGAGGAAAGTGTGCAACTAGGAAAGAATGGAAATCCAAAGTCTCTGTAAACTTTCATTAAAATAAATTTTTATAAAAAAGAAAAGAAAAAGAAAAAAGACGTTTCTTTCTAATTTCCACCCACTAATTCTGGTTTGCCATAGAGAAAAAAGTTTGATCCTTCTTCCATATGGCAGCCTCTCAGATATCATGTCTTAAAAAATTTCTCCTCAGATGTAAACAAGAGAGAATTTCTGAAAGAAAAATGCAAAGAGAATGCTAGAGACTATAACAACACATACAAATCTTTCAGTTTCTCCACAGAAGTATATTTAGTTTCTGGTACGTTTTTTTTTACCTTTGCAGCCTGAGGAGTACAAGCAATGTGCACAGTGCTGGGCTTCACCCCATTTGCCTTGGGTCTTTTAAACAAAGCAAACCTACTTTTCCTCCTTCCTCTATCGCCATTTGGGAGTGACCCATTATACCTGATGAAGGGAAAAGAAAGTTTAGACAATCTCCTATAATAACCAAGAAATTATACAACAATGGCCTACCTTGCCTGACAGAATGAATCCCCAATTAATTATCTATTAACACATCATAATGATCTCAAAATCCTTTTAGCAACTGCTGATTCCAAGACCAGATGCTTGGGTGTGAAACAAAATGAGATTCTTTGTGGTCATGTTCAAAGTCACAGAGATGCACTTCTTAGGGTATACACATGGCTTTGAGTTATTGGCATTTTTTTTCCCTTCCTTCTGTATTATAGACAATCAAGAGTTGATTAATGGGATGCCTGACTCATCATATTTTTTAAGTTGAATGTTTGTATGTGCTAATATAACCTTTAAAAGTACAGTCCATATTGTTCAAAATAGAATCAGCTGTAATTGTGAATCAAACACTTTAAATAGATGAACTTTTCAAACAAGGAAATTTTACGTTTTCAATTTTCCCTTGAGTTGCACCTACTTAGATGTGTGTGTGTACACACACACACACACACATTCATATTCTAGTGTCAGGATCTGCCCAACTTAGAAGTCTGCTTAAGTTACAGTTAAATACATGTCTGTTGTACAGATCTTACAACCCATCTTCTGGGTCACAAGCTGTACACCGTATGTGCCCTAAAGATAAACCAAAAAAAAGCAAGGACTGAACAAATGGGGGAAAGGTATCCAGACATGCCCCCTTCCCGCCACCTGGGTGTTTATACCACCCCAGGCAGTGGTGGGTTCTATCCACACATTACTTCACTCAAGCCATCATCACAAAAACAGCAAGACTGGCATCACAGACCTCATACTCGGGCCCAAGGGGATTAAGTAATTTTCTGAAAGGCACAAACCATGCAGTAGTAAAACCAGAATTTGAATCCAGGTGTGTTTGTCCTGCTTTCCTCCGCCCTGCCCTACCATTTTACTATGGCAGAAACGGTATTTTCACAACCACCTCTTCTCATTTCCTCATGCCCCTCAACAAAATCTTGGTTGACTGTCTTGCAGAGAATTGGCTAATAAGAGGAGGTGGGGGGGGAATGAGGAAAGGGATAAGGGCAAGTTTGGCAGTTAAAGAAGAATGAAATTGCTGTAAAATGACCCAAATTAGTGGCTGACAGGTTCTAAAGCTGAGGAGGGAGCTTTTCCAATGACTGCCATATACAGAAATCAAATCCATCTCTTGTAAAAATAAAATGCTGGTTTCTGTTAGAGAAAGCCTTGCTAATCTTGCCATCTCTCCCACTCAAAGGTCAGAGTGCAGCCCTCAGCTAACCCACTAATTAATTATGCTATTCTAGGACATATGCTGTGAGCAGCCCCACTGAGAGCCCCTCACCACCATCCCCCCAGTACCATGACTCATTTCTCCTTTGTCAGGATCCATGCTCTCTATTCTCACACTGTGTTCCTGTAGCTCAAAGCTTATTTTTATTTAATTTTTTTATTCTTCATAGTTAAAACCCCCAAACCAAACTCTGTCACTGTAGCCATACAATTTAGTGGCATAAATTTGAGCCATAATACTGTACAATTATCACCATTATTTCCAAAACTTTTTCATTAACTCAAATTAAAATTCCTTTTAAGTAGCAAAAGAACAAAGATGACAATCTCGTCCCGCTTCCTTTAGCCTTCAAAGAGGGCGAGGAAAAACATTATTTTCACTTTAAACAGTGAGGGTCTGATTCAGGAACAATTATTGTTGTAAAGGATTACTTGAAAAACTGCTATACCAAGAGAGGCAGTTCAAAGTGAAACATAGCATCTTTAACTCTATTCTTCAGATGACTTTCGAGGTTTTCTTAGCTTAGAAGAGGAGGCTAAGAGCTGTTATTGATGCCACTGGAACATATGTGATTGGAGCTGGTAATTTTACATAGAGATTTCCATGTAGATTTTGAGTATTATAGTTATTACAGTAAATCTGGTTTTGAGAGGGGGAAATGTTTGAAATCTTTCAAAGGGTCCTACGTGGTCTTGCCTACCCATCATTTACAGAAGAGGAAGGTGAAGTGCAGAGTGGCGCAATGCCTTGTCTTAGTTACACAACTGGCAGCACAGAGTAAGCACTAGAACTTAAGACTCCTGACTTCTCACTGAGCTCACACACCATAACATCTTGGTCTCTCTCACTATTTCAGTGCAAACTACAGGCACGAGAACTTGCACAAACCTGAGTGAAACGTGCTGCAATGTCTCAATCTGCTCTTTAGGCAAAAAGAGAGAAACAGAAGGGGAGACTGAGCTTTGCTGTTTCTAGTATTTAAGATCTCCCATGAACAGAGCCTGAAATTTTGGCTTTGTTTTGACAGGTATGGAAAGTTTAGAATTCTCTATTCCTAAATCTACACATGGTCTCTCTGGGAGCTGAGCAGATAAGATGACTTTTGAAGCGAATAAACAGCAAGGCCCCGGACTGGACAGTCCTCAAGTCACCAGCACATGCCCAGCAACCTCCTCTCATAAATAATGACCTCAGCACAAAGCAACTATGACCTCAGAGGGCAGAAGAACAAGGAAGCACTGACCTCCATGAACCACCTACTACACTAGGGAAGAGATTTTTGGTAAAGTTGACTAAAGCAACTTCTTCTACAGAAAAGAATAAAAAAAAAAGAAAAGAAAAGAAACACTGCATGCTGACATTAGTCAAATAACTTTCATTTTTACCCTGTAGGAAACAGTCCCTTTTTATGTGTTTACAGTTAAGCAAAGTTTAAGAGTATAAGCAGTGTTTGTACTTCTAAGAGATGGCATAAACAAGGGACTTTAAAGTTCCTTGATCTGGTAGCATTATCCTGGAATTTTAATCCTTTCAGGAAGCACGTACACTATGAATTCATAAAAAACAACAAAACCACACCAGACCCTCCCCCAACCAACTAATACCTCCTTTCAGCACAGATGTTATAACGGATGCGTGTTATCCATCAGACGGTGAAAACTCACCCTAAGACAATAAGTTCACCATACTTGACCGGTGCTTTGGACGGATGATTTTCTTGATCAGGAGAAAACATGAGCTTGGCTGTCTTCCTCAAATCTCTGTTCACTGATCAGGAGGCTTGGGACACCTTTCGCATTATTTCCTAGAGGGGAAAAGTTTTCATTAATAATAAGAACAACGAATTTCAGTTCAAATTTAAAAAGGTACACTGCTGCAGTCCGTTTGAGTCCAATATTATGCACAGCACACAAAGTGGGACACTACCTTCAACAATGGTGATACATTAATACAAATGCTTAAGGACGTTAGAAACAGTGAAGTCTGGATGAGAGCATGGATATACTTTTCCTTATCTCTCCTTCAGACACAAGAAAAATTTTATTCTACTTAAAAGCATAAAATGCTAAAAAGGAAAGAGAAGTGCAGATCCGCTGGGATCTTGGGGCCCAAGCATGAATACGGGTTTTTTTGGTGCCTTATACATTTTAGACTTGGAACTGAAGAAGTCAGAAAGCTGGGAACGTTAACTGGCAAGGACAATCACTACCACAGCCTCAGCAAAAGCCTGCTCCCTCCAGCCAAAGAACAGGAAGGAGACAGCCTGGAGGATAAAGAACTTCTGACAACTACTCTATCTGGTCAAACGCCATGGAAAACGCAGTGGCCTCACTTCCACCCTTACCAGGAAGTGGGAGGGGAAGCTGAGGCACTGCCTATCAGGTATCAGAAAGGAACAGAGAACTCAGGACAAGTTCCTCACGTCCATCATGTGTGTGTGTGGGTGTCTCAGTAGAGACTCACATGAGAGGCTAGAACACCCACCCCCTTCAGGCCAGCAAAAGACTTCTACGTCCCTCAGGCAGTAATGAGGGACCTATTTCTCTGCAAGACTGGAGAAAGGAAATTTAGATCTATCCGTAACCTAAGAATATAACATGAAAATTTCTAGGTTCCAAAAGTAAATTATATATCATACCAAGAACCTGGAAGATACAAAACAGAACAAAACTAGGTAAGTAATAGTTGCGAAAACTGAGATGACAGCTATTAGAATTAGTTGACAAATATTTTAAAACAGCCATGATAGAAATGTCTCCATGAACAATCATTAACACCTTGAGATAAAAAATAGAAAACCTCAAGGAAAAAATTCTCAGCAGAGACACTGTGACTGTTTCTAGATGCTGCTGAGTCAACTATGAGTCCACTCGGTGATCTATGAACAAGGGATCTGAACCTCGTCCTCTCCTTGGCTGTCCTCATCTCTGACACACGCTGGCCTGCTGCTAGTCACTGTTAATCCACTTTATTGAAGGGTCCCTCTCTTGCTGACCCTCCACTTTTCCAAACATGATGTCCTTTTCCAATGATTGGTCCTTTCTAGAAACATGCTCAAAATATGTGACATGAAGCCTCACCATCCTCGCCTCCAAGGAACACCCTGGCTGCACCTTCTTTAGGACATAATATTTGTTTGCTATTAGGCAGTCCATGGAATATTCAGTACTCTTTTCCAACACAACTCAAAGGTATTGATTCTTCTTAGTCATTGTCAACTTTCAGATGCATAGCAAGTAACTGAAAAGACCATGGCTTGAATCTTTAAACTGACATCATCAACTCCCCGACACCTTGGAAAAGCTCTCGACAGCAAACTGTCCCCCAGGTAACATGTCTTGATTTCTTGACTGCTGTTACCAAGACTGCGGATCCAAATAAAATGAAATAGTTCACAATTTCAATCTCTTCTCCATGTGTTGTGACATTGCCGACTGGCCCAGTGGTGAGGATTTTTTTCTTCTTAATGTTAAGATATAATCCATATTGAAGGCTGCTGTCCTTAGTATTCAGCAGAGAAATAGAAGACATAAGGAAGAACTGCATGGAACCTGGACAACTAAAAATTACACCAACTTTTAACAACAGTATCGTGGATAGCCTCAACAGAAAGGATACAGGAAAAGAACCAGTGACCTAGAAGACAGATTAATGAAAATGGTCTAGTTTGAACAACCAAGAGAATATAGATGGAATGGGGGCAGAGCCTTTGCGACTTGCAAGGCTGTTACAAAAGATCTAGCATTCATGTAAATGGAATCAGAAAGAGGAAATACTGTAGGGGTAAAAAATACTAGAGGGAAATAAGGAGTGCTGGGAAGAGAAATAAAATACAGGCTCAGTACGTTGACAACAACTCCAAATAAAGGAACAACTGGTGGCTTCACTCCACTGACCTTTCATTTCAAATCAGCATTTAAACACTACACCACTGGTGTTCTGGATTAGCCACTAGAGGAAATGCAAATTAAAACCACAGCAATCATATGGCACACTTATCCCTCAAGTGAAAATGAGAAATGACCACAACAGCAAATGCTAGTGAAGACAAAGAAAACGGAAACCCCCTACTGACACACTGCTGGGTTAAACACAAAAGGGTAGAGGTGTCTGAAAAGCAGTTTCTTAATAAATTTATTATAACTACATATAACTACTGACACACACCTTCCTGATTTTAAACCATGGAGTGAGTATTCCCTTGCTCTTTTTGGACAACTGCTTGTTGATCTATGTGTAGGTTTCACACAAGCCGATCAAATAGTCTGAACATCTGGATTACATGAACAATGTAGCATCAGAAGGCTCAACAAAAACCCGCAATATGCAGATGACACATCTTGCTTGCAGAAAGCGGGTTAGACTTGTAGCATTTATTAAAGAAGATCAAAGGGCTACTACATACAGCCTTCAATATGGGTTACATTTCAGTAACAAAAATCCTCACCACGGGTACTAGCAACATCATGATGATGTTGTATATTGCAAGTTGGAACCAACTCATAGCTGACCCTCCAGAGAGTTTTCAGAGGCAGTAAACTGCATGGGAAGAGACTGCCCATCTTTCTCTCTCAGAACAGCTGGCAGATTCGAACTGCATGTCTTTGGATGGGCGGTGTAACTCCTTACCACCAAGACACCAGAGCACACCATCATGATAGAGAAAAGACTGATGTTGACAAGCACTTCAATCACTTGGATCCACAGTTAACACTCAAAGCAGCAGTCTAGAGATCAAAAGATGTGTTGCACTGGGAAAATCTGTAGTGAAGGACATCTTCAAAGTGCTGAAGAGTGGGGATGCCAGTTTAAAGATCCGAGCCAGGAGGTTTTCAAATGCTCCCTATGCATCTGTAGGTTGAGTAATGATGAAGAAAGATCAAAGAACTGATGCCTATGAATTGTGGCAGAGGGTCCTGATTACACTATGTTCTGTCAAAAGGACAAAGCAAACTGTCTGGGAGAAGAGCAACCATGGTGCCCATTAGAGGCGAGAATGGTGAAACTTTGTCTCACATACTTTGAGTTTGCTGTAAGGACAAGCCAGTCCTTGGAAAGACATCAGGCTCCGAAAAGCAGAGGGTAAGGGTCAGTGAAAGAGAGGAAGGGCTTTGATGAGATGCCGAGATACAGCGACTACAACAATGGGCTCCTGGAGCCTGACAGATCACAGTGAGAGTGAAGAGTGGGGAATGTTCATATCTGCTGTTCACAGGCTCACGGTCAACTGTAGCCCTGGCCAACCACCACATGGTCCAGAAAATACACTCCTGGGAAATGATCCCAGAGAAATGAAGATGCAGGTTCACACAGGATCATATAGATGGATATTAATACAGCTTTTCTCCTTAACAGTCTCACATAGAAACCCAGATAGCCTTTGATGGGTTAATGGTTTAACTGTGGGACATCTTAGCTTTAAAAACAACAACCTGGATGAATCTTCTGATTATGCTGACATTAAAAAAAATTATTTTCATACTGTTACATATGGTGATTCCATTTATGAAACATCCTTGAAATGAGAAAATTAGCAGAGATGGAAGACTAATTTTTACCAGGGGTGCAATTGGGGTGGTGGTGGAGGTGTGGTTATGAAAGGGCCACATGAGAGACTCTGGGGATGCAAATGTGCTGTATCAACGTCAATGTCTTGGTGGTATTTCATTATAGTTTTACAAAACGTTATCATTGAAGGAAACAGGGTAAAGGGGCATACAGAATGACACGGTATTATTTTTTAGTTACATGTAAATTTATGATGACCTCAAGACTAAAAATTTTATTGGAAAACTAACTGTAAGTTTAACTCAAGTATGAAAATTTCTGGAAAAACAAGACAATCTAGCATTCTGGATAGGCCAGAGAAAGCTTAACTAAGTCTCACATATCATCCTGCCTGATTCACTGGAGACCTAATGGGACTCGGTAAGGAATGCCTAGGGAGGGCGCTCCGGTGCCCAGTGCGTAGAGAACTGTGCTGAGAACCCAAGTAAGCACCTTTCTAGCAGTTCTGACAGGGTGGCATATCTTCTGTTTCCTAAATCTATTTCTCTTCCTGGTCTTCCTAGTAAGACCTGTGTGCGACTAAAGTTCCCAATAAAATTTTGACCAGTCAGAGGCGCACCCATAAAAATCTCCTGTTCATACCTTCACCAAGAGGTTTCACAGGGAGCTTTGATGTCAGAGTCCCACCCAGTGGTAAAGCGGGTCTGGTGGTTTGAATCCAGCAGCCACTTGAGAGGCAGGAGAAAAATGGGCCGTCTCTTCCCATTAGATTTAATGCCTCGCAAACCTGCAGGAGGGTCAGCTAGGAGTTGGAGCTGACTCAACGGCAAGGAGCCAACCCCGGTCTCCCATCACACACACACACACACACACACAACTGCCCTGCATATTATTACTTCCAGGACCACTGGGAGTTCAGTAAAGAGTCATCTGCTAAGTGGGAGGTCAGCAGTTTGAATCAGAGTCACACAGACCTCATATACGGAACCGCCTAGTCAGGCTTAGGGCAGCTCCAGTCTGTCCTCCAGGATCACTGTGCATCACAAAGTACTCAACAGCAGTGAGCTGGCCATCTCTCCTGGAGAGAGGGCAACAGGGTCAATTTGCTGCCCCTCACAACCAAGGAGTCCCTGGAGAAGGACACGATTCTTGGAAAAGTAGAGGGTCAGAAAGGGAAGGCAGACTCAATGGGATGGCCAGACACGGCAGAGGCATCCAGGAGGACTTCTCAGAGCATCTCACAACCATGCTGATGCAACACAGAGCTCCCAGAGCAAACAAGTCAGTCGTGAAACAA